TTTGCCACCTTCTTTGATGTCTTAATAGAAGACTAGCTGGGATTTCATATGTGCTTTTGAATTCATTCTGATAACTGGTGTGTTGCTTTGGTGAATGTGTCACCACAGATACAGAATTGGAAAAGGGAAGAATCTGTTTAATAACCTTTTCAGATAATTCTAGACATCTGCTTTGTTATTACTGCAAATCTTGACAAGTAGTACTTTCTTATTTGACTGTATTTTTTGTAGTGCTGAATATCAAACACAGGGCCTTGCACACACTAGGTAAAGCTCTACTACAGAGCTATATCCCTGGTTCCTTCCTTTTAAAAAATGTGATTTCTATTACGTTTTCCCCCCAGTGCATAGTTTTTCTTGCGTCCTTAAGGATTTAGTCCTTGACAGGCTTTGGGGGTCATGAAGCAGCATCAGCAGGGCTAAATCAGGGAAGGAGTGTTGGGTATTTCAAGCTTCTTGAGATTGGGACCACTGGGCTTGGACAGACAACTCACGTAGCATTGTAGCTTCACAGACAGCTTGAGAAGCACATAGGCACAAAGATGCCCATTGCAGAAATGTTCTACTGCTGGTGAACCCACTGTGCTCATAAGGATGACCTTCCTAATGGCTTTGTCACTGGTGTAGTCTACAGCTTTCTCATTATTGAACACCCTTGAACAGGCTACATGTGGATGCAGCCCTTTTGGATGTGGTGATTATTCCTTTAGTTTTCATCTTGGAAGCAGGTACCTGAGAGAGACAAATGGCACTTTCCTAAAGGTTATTAGTGTGATGTGGAATCTGAAGCCACATATGTGAACTTTCTGAATTTTGTTTCACTGAAATACATTGGTCTCTCTCAAACTTTTTTTTATTCTTGTGGTACCAGAGATCGAACTGAGGACTTTCTGCTTGTGAGGCAGGCAGTGGTACCACTGAGCTAAATCCCTGGCCTCTCTCAAACTTTGAATGCATTTTGTAATATTGCAGTGGGTTATTTGTAGACTGTTGATTAGCCAAGTAATACAGATCTTTCAAATGTTGAAATAATTCATTGTACAGTATTTTAAAAAGCACATTTATTACTATTCCCACTGATCTTATTGGAAGAATATTTATTTTTATTTATTTAGTGGTGGTGGGGATCATGCATACTTGGCAAGCATTCTGCATTGACCTACATTCCCAGCCAGAAGTGTCTTTAAATACTTGCAAAACTAAAATACAAGTTTTCCACAATTACAATTTTTGCTGGAAAGCCTGGATTTTAGTTTTGGCAGTGAGTACCACATATTGTTTTCTTGAAGTGACAGGCTTACTTCATTTTCAAGAGAATGTATGCCACATACCGGAATCTGAATAACCAGAGTTTGTCTGTCAGTTGTTTATTCACATGAGGGTTTTCCATGGGAGGAGGCCGATGTAGCTCCCAGCCCAGACAGATGCCTGGTGCTTTCTCATGGCAGTGTTTGGATTCAGGGGGTAGCAGACGTGCCATGTCATTGCAAAGAATATTAGAAAGATGTGTTGTGGAAGTGTACGTTTAGTAAGATTCGTATTTCTCTTGCTTCATCAAAAATATTCTTGAGTGAAACTGGCTTTTTCTTTAAAAATCAAACTGAGGGCATGTGGTGGTACATAGTATAGTAGTATGGAGTTACCATTTGCTTCTACTGCCTTGATCTATGCTAAGGCCACTGTTGTGTTTGCATCATCAGTGTGACTGTCAGCACAGCAGTAAAGGCATATTATGTCTTGGTGTTATTCTGACCACAGTTTCAATTTCGTGTACCACCTGACCTGGGGCAGACCTTCAGGGTCTGCATATCACACATTGAGAACCTGTAATGGAGTCTGACCATGGAGTCAGAACCAAGTTGGGACACTGGCTCCGTTATTTAATACAGGATGCTCACTTAGCTTCGCAGGTCTTTGTCTTTTCATGTAGAAAATAGAGACCTGAGTTCCTTAGATGGAATGTTGTGAAGATTGAATGGAAGAATCAAAGAGCATATGACTTCATTAGTAGCTAGCAAGTGCTAGTAAAGGTTATTTTCCTTGCTTTCCTTCTTGGGACACGATGAAGGCATTGGGGTTGAGAACAGTGGGTAGTGATAGAGAGATGAATAGGAACAGTTGGCTCTACTGCCCTGAGAAATGGAGAACAGAAAGGGGCCACACAGCTTCCTGAGTCCTGTCAAAATCCCAAGTGTTGTAGTCTGTGTCAGAGATTGCTCTCTCTTTTTTTATTTTTGTTTTGTTTTATTTTTGGTAACTGGGATTGAACTCAGGACCTTGGGCTTGCAAGGCAGGCACAGTGCTTCTGAGCTAAATCCCTGGCCCAGAGCTTGCTCTTTGTTTGTTTTTTTTTTTTTTTTTCCCAGACTGAAGAATATGAGTTTGATTCTAAGTGAGACCTGAAATCCTCAAAACTCAATTCATTTTACTTTCAGAAATGAATGTTATTCTACTGGTAATGTGAAGTTTGTGTCCAAATTCTGAAAAAGATTGATAATCACGGGCTGGGGATTTAGCTCAGTGGTTCCGGCACCTGCTTCACATGCGCGAGGACCCAAGTTCGATCCCTGGTACCAAAAAAAAAAAAAGATTGATAATCACTGAACAAGAAAGCTCATAGTAGGGCCGGGGATTTAGCTCAGTGGCTCTGTGTCTGCCTCTGAGCTCTGGTCCTGAGTTTGATTCCCGATACAAGAAAAGCGAGAGTGGTGGAGGGGTGAGAGAAGCTCACAGTGCACGTGGAACAGAAGAGCTGCTCACTTTACAGTGTGTGTTTCCATTGGGTGTGGAAAAACATCCTGGTGGAGACTGCACTTTGAGAAGAGTGACAGTTTTGCCTGGCCAGTCTGGTCATTTGTCCTGGGGGTTGAGGTGGGCACAGGTGTGTGATGTTTGGGCCCTTCTGTAGGAAAGCTTTCACTAGCTCGGTCGTCCCATATGGAGAGTTCATTCCATTCTGAGTCCATCACCACTAGCAAGACCTCTTCTCTTGGAGCAGCCTTGCCTTTACACCTGAAAGGTAAAGTCCTGAAAGGTAAAGCAAGAGTGTCCGTTGTGTTTTTCATTGATCTTTTGTTTCCTCTGCCGGTAGTTGTACTATTCAGATTTTGGATATCTAGATGGAGCATTCTTGTTTTGGTAGATAGAATTGGTGTCTTACACACACACACACACACACACAGAGGCCTTAAGTTAATATAAGGGTTGCTCTCTAACATTTGTCGGACTTTGTCCTGCAGAAGTCTTTTTTCAGGGCCTCTTGTAGCTCAGAGCACTCAGGTGGTGACTAGGCACACCCGTACGGCCTTGTTAGGGTCCTGCCTCTCTAATGTGGATGGAGGAGAATGAGTGTTTCTGTTCCCTGCCCTGCACCATTCCGTAAGCTTTGCCCATGGGGCCTCAGTGCACACTGTAAATCCACATAACATTAGAGTGACTGGTGGAATGGAGAAGGTACTTGGCTGCACTCACATCTTGAGGTTTTGACTCCTTTCCTGTATCACTGTTTCCTAACATTGTGACCTTGAGTGAACAGCTTTACTCTGTAGAGTCCAGATTCTTTATGTATCACCTGGGGCTGAAGACATTATATTTGCCTTTATCTGCTGGACGAGTAGTTTGTTGTGAGGCTTTAGAGGAAGGAAGCACCTGGGAAACCCTAAGATGGGGTTTCAAGTCAGAGCACTTGTGGGTACTCAGTAGGAAAAGTGAAGGAACCCAGGTTGGTGGGAAGGACTGCAGTGTCAGAGGACGCACCGTTTGCCATTGGTTGTCAAGAGCATGAGCTCTCCACACAGATTACCTGGGTTTGAGTTTGTGCTCCTCAGTGGGTGTAACCTTAGGCATGTTGTTTACCTCTTTGTGCTTTAATTTTTTCATATGAAAAACAGGCTTCAAAGTAATACCCCCCACTAATAGTACCGACCTTTAAAGGATTAAATGAGAAAATAATAGACCTGAAGAACAGAGCCCTAGCCAGATTGCAAATTTCTAATCCTAGCACTTAGGCCGAGGCAGGAGGGTTGAAAGTTCAAGACCACCTGGGCAAGTTAGCGAGACTCTATTTCAAAATGAGAAACAGAAGGGCTAGGAATGTAGCATAGTGGTTGAGCATCCCTGAGTTCAGTCCCCATGATCGGGATGAAAAAGTCAAGCAGTAAACAAACCCCAGTTTTTGGTGCATGGAAACCACTCAGGCCATGATAGATAACTCTTACAGTCAGGGGATACAGTGGTCTTGCCCTGCATGTGGGTTGTGTGTGATTTAACCAATTTTGTAGCACGTGACATTTTAAAGCAGCCATTGTCTAACAAGTCTGGTTCCTAGTCTACCCAAGGAGGCCCCATCAGCCACAGGATCTTAAGATTCTTCTAGGATCTTAGGAAGAAAAGAGGGTAGTGAGTGAGCTGGTATGTTTTTTTTTTTTCCTGCTGTATAAATGTCCTCTGTTGGGCATTCTGTAGCATTCTATTCTATTGGCACAATTGTACTTCAAGCATTACCTTGATTAGCTGTGTGGGAAATGAGATGAGGGAAGCTGAAACAGTTATTTAAATGTCTTGTATTATTCTGTTTTAGTTCCTGAAGACATCATTCAAAGATATGTTTTCTTGAGCAAAACAAGTGTATGGTATTCCTGCCTAGCTTGCCTGTTCTGTAAGGCAGATGTGTATGGTTGGTTTGCAGGCACGGGAGACTAGTGAACTAGAACCAGAAAACCCTAGTGCTGTGTTTTCAGCCTGTCTCCCACCTCTGCCACTACCTGCTTTCTGACATTGGTCAAGTCCCCCTACCTCTTTGGACCTTAGGTTGGTGACCTACAAAATGGAAATGTTTTTTATCATCTTTTCTCTCTTCCTTCTTAAGGTGTGTCCTAAAGGCTTGGATGGGAAAATATGGGGTGGGGGGAAGTACTTTACCTCACAGCATAAGTATTAGCATGACAAATGGCACTGATAACAAAGTTCTGACCCTCCTAATGAAATATTTTCTTTCTCAGTGATGTTACAGCCTTTCGATTATGATCCCAATGAGAAAAGTAAACACAAGTTTATGGTTCAGTCTCTGTTTGCTCCAACTGACACTTCTGATATGGAAGCAGTAGTAAGTACTGAATGCTTACTTTTTTCAGTAATAGTAACACAAATCAATTTGGTACAGACTTGTGGGTGCATGCATTTCAAAATTGTTTACGTGGGAATGGTGTTTTCTAGGTTTATACTTTGATAACCGTTACAGTGTTTCTAAACCTTGATGAATAATTTTAACATTTTAGGGCTGTGGATTTAGCTCAGCAGTTTTGTGGCCTGCCTTGTAAGCGCAAGGACCAGAGTTCAATCCCTGGTACCAAAAAAAAAAAAAAAAAAAAAAAA